CATCCAGAAAATTATTCTGGATTGCAGTAATCTAGAAGGAAAGGTGTGTTTTTGGAGAGAGGTGGAAGGAGATGGACCAAATTCATCTAAGAACCCCAAAGGCCTACTTTGGGGTTCTTATCCTTGCAGGAGTTTTCAGGTCCAAAGGGGAATCCACAGAATCTCTGTGGGATGCAGAAACCGGCAGAGAACTTTTTCGTGCATCAATGTCTCTGGAAAACTTACACAAAATTTCCAGGATTATCCGTTTTGATAACCGAGACGACAGACCAGCTCGACGGCAGAGAGACAAGCTAGCTGCCATCAGGACAGTGTGGGATAAGTGTGTGCACCACCTCCCCCTGTTTTACAACCCTGGACCTAATGTCACCATTGATGAGCAGCTGATCCCATTTAGTTGTGAAACATATTGCTTCACGTGTAAATGTGTTGTGTCTTTCCACTCACTCCATTTGATTATAACTGATTTTTTTTTTTTTAACATTTTATATAAAAAAAGAAAGAAATGAGAAGCACATTAATTCATAAATGTGATCTAACAAAGGTAAAGGGAAAAAAAATAGCCATGTTTGCTGTTCATATGGCTTGTAATTGGGATGAAGTAAACATCTGTTGAGTAATTTAACATAAAATTGTTTGATAGTGTTAATTTGGAAAGCCAAAACTCTAGCGGGTCCACCAGACCCATGAACACTGGCTGAATAACAAAAATATGAACACCACACAAGGGTTAAACAAGAAGAGTTTACCTATTTGGTAATCATTATGACCCTGTTGATAGCTGATATACAGATCTGTGTCAAATTACTTTTAAAGGCCATTCTTTGGAGTTAATATACTTTAGTTCTTGCCTCTCGGGTGTGGAAACAAAAAGTTCTGCACAGGCATTAACGTCAGCTTTTCAGGTAAGCCCGAGAGCTGAGGCCTGACTTTGTGGTGTGTCTTTAAAGGGTTACCTTGGGCCATAGTAAGCCTCAACAAGCTAAGCGCCAGGCCTAATGAAAACACTGTGACATCTGAGGGCGAAAAGGCATTACGGGTCTAAACTACAGGGGTTGTTTTAACATGCAAATGACAGAAAATGATGGTTATCACAAACACCTTTCAGACACACTAAATGCAGGTCTGCTAGCCAGTGGGCCTCGAGTCGAGAGAAACAAGCAGAACGTCAAACACTGATGGTGTGTTGGACATGCAACATATGGGAAAACATAAAAAATACTTTTTCTTTTATTTTGCTCTGGACAAAGCAGAAGATAACTGTGGCACTTTAGCAGAAAAACACATGGTTCTATTTATACAGTAAGGTGCAGACTAAGAAGATGGCGCTATCATATCAGCTACGAAGGTGTTATCTTTCACAGCACATCACCTAGATCTTCTAGCATGGAACCCGCGCCATATCAAGGAAAATTAAACCCGAGAGCAGCAAATGAGCTAAAAGCATACAATTTTTCATCATCTCAGTTGGAAATAAACAGTCACATGCGCACTAATGAAAACTGTTGCACTCGAGGTTTTCATCTGTGCAGAAAACCTCTCCAGAGAATTGCATTTCCACTTTGATACAAAAATAATCAGAAATGAGAAGTTAAACATAGAAGACCAACAATAATTAAAGATGTAAAAGACGCTATCGGAGTGAGTTAACATAAAAATAAATCTTGGCTACAATAGA